TCAACACCGCCCCTGTCGCCCGGCGAACAGGTCGCCGAGCAATTGAGCCGTGTCCCACCCCCGGAACTGCACAACGGCTCCACCACCTCACAACCGAGAATTACCCCATCTGAATCGACAGATCGGCACCGGAACGACGGGATCTTGCCGCAACAGACGAGGTCCCTCGTCATGGAATCGGGTGACGGAGCAGAGAAAAAGGGGCAAGAACCAAGTGATTGGGGGCCATCAACCGCCGACTAAGCACGATTGCCGCCGAGGAAGGCGGACGACTTCAATTTGGAAGAGAACCGGCGAGGATGATGAGGGTTTACTGTTTTAGAGAAAAAGGGGCGAGCTGCTTCTAAATCTCATTCTTGAGATTTTCAGACTATGTAATTATCATTTAATTTATGATAATTAGTAATTTAAAAAAAAAAGATACATATAAGTTGAAAGTCCTTAAATATTTTATTAGTATTATCATAATTAAAGAAGAGGTTAGAATGATGTTCTACTGAAAAGGTAATAATATAAATACTAAACAAGATGTAAAAATGATGTTCTACGTAATAAAAAGGTAAAACTACACAACGAGAAATCTTATAACTGACATTCCACTCAAAAGTAAAAAAAAAAAAAATGATAAAATTAATGAATGTCATATATCAATTGGAGCTGGCGAATGATAAATGTAAAATATACTTGAGATGCACATTTATAAAAAATATATTTATTTTTTTGTCTTAGAAATCAGTATGTTAGTCATAATTTTTTTAGTTAAAAAATTAGTTAATTTTTACCATTAAATTTCTTAATTTCGAAATACTTTTTTTTGTTACCCTTTTATATATAATATATCACATCATTTCTTTCCCATGATATTTGATTTTACCAATGTTTTGTAAATAAAATAAAAATAATATAATTATTTATATCCATGTAAAATAATATAGATGTATATATTTATATCAATACCAATTTAAAATAATAAATAGACCTAAAAGAATCTTATAAAATAATTATAGATCCATGTTACATTAATTTTATTAATTATAAAATAACATTAGATAAACTTGTGGTATATTTTTCTGACATAGATTTGAAATATTCATACCAAGTAAAAGGTGTAACTAGATGTAATTGTACAACTACTACCAATATTAAATATGTGAATTAAAAGAAAAAAAATAAATCGGTTGTATGTTAAACTATTATTCAATTATTGCTTGAAAGGGAACATCATAATGGTTGTAAAATGTATTTTTTGTGAATATAAACATGAATTAGTTACTTATTATTTTATCAGAACATGGAAATAAAATCAAATCTTTTTAATATTATAAACAATATAAAACTACATTTTTATCAAGTATATTATTACTATCAAACACGTAAAAAGAACGCATTATGTTCTATAAATCTTTCATCAAATAAAATATTATTTGTGAATAAAATAAAAAAAAAAACAAGTAAGCCAATAGTAATGCAATGAGGAAAAGAATAATTTTTAATTTTTCTAGAAAAGTATGAATTCTAATATCAAGAAACAAAAATCTTTTAAAATTATAATTTTTTTTTTTGTTGCTAGCATTTAAGTATATGTTCTCTATAAGAAATTGGTTCTCATAAATAATGATTCGATATTATCATAAGATAGACCACAAACTTTAATAATGACTTCATAATAATAAAGTTAACAAATGACTAAGAGTACCATAATATAGTATATTTCAAATTCTTCTCATCTGAAATATTTTGACAAATACTTCTCAATATTGTCTCATTGTTTTGTTTTGTTTTGTTGTTATTGAAGAATAAATCAAAGATCTTTATCTTGAATTTTTTAAGCATTAGTTATGACTTATGATACAAAATATTGGACAATAAATGCATTAAATGTTATTAGACACATAAATATTGCAAATCCGAAAGAATATGAAGGTATCTATCTTTCAAATTAATAACACTGAAAAGAGAATGTTTGATTCTGATCAAAATATTTTTGAATGTTGAATAAGTTGTCACTTTTTGATAAGAAAATTTACAATCATAACTGTGTATTGTGCTCGATCATACACGCAATTATTTTAGAGTACATATTTTCATGTAATGTGTGATGATTTCAAAAAAATAATTTAGCATCTTCAGAGAAGTACATGATTTTGGAAAATCAAATTTTATTTAGAGATGAAATTCGTTCCCACCTCATGGGGTAAGTACAAATTTGTCTATGTGGAGAGAGAGAGAGAGAGAGAGAGAGAGAGAGAGAGATGTAGTAGTTTATACAATGATTAAAAGAAATATCAAGAATTTTAATGACACAAATATTATGAAATTTAATGCTATAATTGTTTATTTCACAGAGATACTTATGAACTGTTAGTAGAAATACCTTATAATGATTATACAATAATAAAGTTTGATTATATATTTGGCTAAAGTATTTCTAAGTATTGAATAAAATAGACGTTTTGCCAAATTAATTAAGAAGAATTTTGCAATACTATTAATGTATTAAAATTCGATGAGTACAAATGTTTCTTATGAGAACATCAAAACCAAAATGAAAGAAAATAACTCTTGAATCTAACATAAATAAATAAAAGAACTCATGCATCTATAATATAGATTATGTCATTATTCAGTCATTTGTTGTTTTTTCATTAGGAACTCATTTTTCATATATTTTCGTTAGAGTTGTAATATGATATTTAAATCTTTTATGTTACGATATCATTTTTTTATTAAAAAAAAATGCATGAAAAGTTTATTTATTCTACATTTTATTTTGTTCCAGCAATCATGTGTAATAAATTAATTAATTTATCTTACTAAATTTAATCGGTAAAAAATATTTATCACCACATGCATCACATGTGCACTTTACTAATTTATTAAATGGGAGATCATNTGTGCACTTGGAGTGACGAGAAGGTGCCCCCCACATTATTTAATTTAATTTACTAAATGGGAGATCATAACAATCATATAATAGATAAGAATTATTTGATCATTGCTTGCGTCATTTTCAATTGTGCACTTGGAGTGACGAGAAGGTGCCCCCGCCACATTATTTAATTTATTAAATGGGAAATGATAATCATACATCAATATCAATATCAATATCAATATCAATATATATATATATATATAAAGAGGTTGTTGGAAAAATACATTAATAAAAAGTTTGATCAAATAAATATAATGTTTGACTTACTATTAATGAAAAGTTCAAAAAATACATGTGAATCTTTAGTAACAAAATCTCAATCCTTTTTTTTATAACTAATTTAGAGATTCTTATGGCAAAATTTGAATCCCATTTTTTTCGTATCATATTTTATTTTTTTTACCAAAATTTAAATCACATATTTTTTGGTAACAAGTTTGAAGTTTGGATATTCTTATGCAAAAAATGAGTCAATTATTTATGAAAACAATTCTAAATACAAATTAACTTAAAAACCGTACAAATTGGATACAAATTTTGGAAACAAATAGTTGTATAATTCTTAACCAATTATTTCAATATTATTGAATGATTTTTTCTTTCAAAAAAAAGTGTGTAAATTGGATAAAACCACATGCAATTTTTATTTTAGAATAAAATTGATATTTGGACGAGATATACATTCAAAATTGTGTCCACATTCTTTGGTAACAAAAGCGGTTCATCTTTGATATTTAAAAATTAAAAAAATCTTAAAATATCCTTAAATATTTAACTTATTTGAGATCAAGGTTTGTTAGGTCTTTTTAAGATTAGTTATGATTTAAAAGAAAAAAAAATTATACAAAATTTCACTCTAAAAAACTCACATTCACACTTAAGATTTCATAGTATTCCTCTAAAATTTGACCATCTTAAAAGTCTCAAATCTTAAAATATCTCAAAGTGGCACTCAATTCTAAACGAATACTTATTATTTACCTATATCTTCAATTTATAATTATTATTTAATATTATTTATCCGTGCATCGCACGGGCCACATACTAGTCTAGAAGAAAGAGAAGCAAATCTTTTCATGTGTTGAGGAAACTATATTTAATGCCAATTGACGCATTAGTAATATAAATAATAGTAACTAGTACAATACCCGTGTATGATACGGGTGTTGAATTAGAAAACTTTTGTAAAAAATATTAAATTTTTTATTTTTTAAAAACTAAAATAATTTAATTTTATATAAAACATTACTTTGGGTTTTAATTAAATTGTCAAATTATATTTTTCTAATCATAATAATTAAACACCCGTACATTAAATAAAAATGTCAACCCGTGTTGAATTTTTTTTACTAATATTATATAAAAATATCGATATTATTTACTATTATATTAGTACAAAAATATATATCTTAAATAAATAGAAATAATGGTGATATGTATATGCATAAGTGTAGAATATGTTTATTTAATATTAAGCAAAATAGATTAATTTTTTTACTTAATTAGATGTCTAATACATCAAGTGTCGTATCAATCGTGCTTCACAGTTTTTTTAACTTTATATGTAATTTTTGAATTTATATAAATAATTATTAATTTTTATTACATTGACAACATATCAATTAGATTTGAAATAAATATCATTTTTAAAATAATACATACCAATTTCTATTACTTTATGATATAATTTATAATTTTATTTGATTTATAATTTAATTTAGTTTGATAAATAATTTAAATTTTATTTATAAAGATGTATATTACTGTTTGGTATTATATATATATATATATATAATAAATAGTAAAATATAAACGGATTTCATAATATCAATTCAAACTTCCACCAAGTCCAGCGCGGTCCCTCCCGATCCTAGGCCATCTCCACCTCCTGAAGACCCCAATCCACTGCACCCACCAGAAGCTGGCGGAGAAGGTCGGCCCCGTCTTCTCCCTCCGCCTCGGCCACCGCCGCCTCATGGTGGTTGTCTCCTCTCTGGAACTCGTGGAGGAGTGCTTCGTCAAAAACGACGTCGTCCTAGCAACCGCCACATCTCGTGTTTAAAAATACATGGGCTACAACCACACCACCTTAGTCGAATCCTCCTACGGCGACCACTGGCGGAACCTACGCCGCCTCACCACTGTCGAGGTATTGTCCGGCACGCGACTCCACTCTTTCAACTCAATCCATCACGACGAGATCAGGCTCCTTCTGCAAAAGCTCTACGGGACGTCTGCTTCTGGTCTCGCGAGGGTCGGCCTGAGATCTTGCCTTTCCGAGCTGACTTTCAACAACATAATGAGGATGGTGGCCGAAAAGAGGTACTTTGGGGAGGGTGACGAAGAGGCCGCGGAGTTCCGGAAGATGATAGAGGAGGTTTTTAGCTTAGGTGGCGTGTCCAACCCAGCCGACTTTATTCCCGTGCTCAAGTGGATTGTTTACAAGGGATTCGAGAAGAAATTGGGCAAGGTCAGCCGGAAGATGGACACCATTTTGCAGCGCTTGATTGACGAGCAGCGGCAGAGGAGCAAAGTTAACGGCGGCAACACAATGATCGACCACATGCTTTCCCTGCAGGACAAGGAGCCTCAGTACTACAACGACTCCATTATCTTCAACACATTATCTCCAAGACCTTCCGATTGTTCCCAGCAGCGCCGTTGCTTGTACCTCACGAAGCATCGGCTGATTGTACAATCGGCGGCTACCACATACCACGTGACACCATCTTGATGGCCAACGCGTGGGCCATCCATAGGGACCCCAAGATTTGGTATGACCCCAACAGCTTCATTCCCGAGCATTTCGAAGCCGCAGAGGTTGGGCCCACCAAGCTCATGCCTTTTGGGCTGGGAAGGAGGTCCTGCCCTGGGATGGGCTTGGCCCAACGTGTCGTGGGCTTGACCCTTGCCTCTCTCATTCAGGGCTTCGACTGGGAAAGGGTTGACGAGGCCTTGGTTGATCTGACCGAAGGGACTGGCTTATCAATGCCCAAACTACAACCCCTCGAGGCCATGTACAGGGCACGTGATGTGCTTCATAATGTTTTCGGTGGGGTTGGGGTTCCTTCAAACATTTGACTTCATTCCTCTACAATCCCATGCTCGGGAGCTTGTGCTGTTTGTGTGTTTTTGGTTTCACTCATTTTCGCCTAGTCTCGTCTTTGTGATTTTCCTCTCAATATCTTTCGAGAGCTTGGTGTTTTTGGTTTCACTTAGTTAAAGTCATTTTCCTAGCCCCGTCTTTGTGATTCTCCTCTCAATGTCTTTCTCAGATATATAGTAGTGAGAACGGATTATTAAGTGTTTGTGTTGTGGGTCTGTATTTTTAATTTGGTTTACAATAAAATCATTTTCTTAGTTGTGTCATTGTATGCAATATACTCTGAATCTTTTTCTCCCCATGTCTATAGTAAAGTGAGAGAGAATAGTTGTTCTCAAAAATTAAGTTCGATAAATAGAATACGAATATCAATAGTCGAAACACTTGCATTCTCTCAAACATTTGACTTCATTCCTCTACAATCCCATGCTCCAGAGCTTGTGTTAATGGTTTCACTCATTTTCGCCTAGCCTCGTCTTTGTAATTTCCTCTCAATGTCTTTCTCACATACATATATAGTGAGGAAGAAAAATAATTAAAGTGTTTATGTTCCTGTATTTTTACTTTGGTTTATAATAATATCGTTTTCTTTGTTGTGTCATTGTTTGCAATGTACTCTCAATGTTTTTCTCCCATGCCTATAGTGAGACAGAATAGTTCTCAAACAGAGTATCTTAATTGATAACCAATTACACTACCACGAATTTCTAACTCCTTACTTGCCAAAATCCTTTATTATTTAGCAGTCCGCCTATAGTGAGATGGAATAGTTGTTCTCAAACAGAGTACCTTAATTGGTAACCAATTACACTAACACAAATTTGTAACTCTTTACTTGCCAAAATCCTTTATTATTTAGTTGTCTACTTCAAATCCATGTTTTAAATACCGTACCGTACTGGCTGGTACTGGTGGTCCGATCAGTACGGTTATACTCAAAATACAGTTTTGGCCAAAATAACGGTTTATACCGGTTTTACCGGTAAATACCGGCCAAAATACCGGTTTATGCCATTTTTTTTTTTTTAAAAATATTTTTTAATATATTTTTATTAATTTATTTATATAAAATAAAATTCTACACTTAATTTTAATATGTTTACATTGTTATTAGATATTAATTAATTTTAATATTCATTAAAGTTTGTTTTGTACATTATTTATATTATATTGACAAATTAATTTAATATTTATATAAACCGGTAAAATAGACAGTAAAACCGGTTGACCCGCGTACCGTTGGCTCGCCCGGTATGATTACCGGTACGATATTTAAAACACTGCTTCAAATAGTGTATTAATTAGATGAAAAATACCAGAAGATTCAATTCTTATAAAAGAACTACAAATTGAAAATGATATTACAAGAGATCTTGTAATAGGGAGATAATAGGTTGAGTCGAGAGTTACAAGACAAATTAATACACCTCATCATGTGCCGACAGATTCACGCCTCACGTGCCTAAATATACAACAATTACGTCTCATGAGTTGTATCACTTTGTTACGAATCGTGTATCAAATTGAGTATTTTGTATCAAAACCCGCACTATGGCCGTGATCTTGACACAGATTGGTGCTCGAAAACGAGCTTTTTCTGAGATATTTGATAAAAGTGATAATAATATGTTCATACAATCTAAAAAAAGGACATAAAATAACCCTACAAACTATCCAAACCAAATTGAAAACGAAAAAGAAACTGAAATGGAAACTGCTCCCGCTCAGACCTTAGCGCTGCTAAAGAGGGTTAGCGGCGCTAACCCGGGTTAGCTGTTCGCCTCAGTAGTCGCTAAGCGGAATAACGGTGCTAGTTAATCAGACCTTACCGCTGCTAAGGGATGTTAGCGGTGCTAACACCTGGACCTGGGCAACATCTTTTTGCTCCTTCATCTTCGCCCTTCGAGCCCTATTGTATGCATTCTTCAGTTGACGACCCTCATTTGCATCACACTTTTACAACACAACTCAATAGTCCAGATGTATTATATGTGGTGTACTCTTGCTGCTCTAGATATGTTTAATTTACAAGACTTTCGCCCAACAGGTTTACGCAACCACTAATAGCCTGTAACAGACAACTAATGGCTTTTGTAAGGAAAAATGGACAATTCGTCCACTAATTATACCCTAGTTGCACTTTTGTTACACTATCATTTTTTTTTGGCAAATTTCATCCATATCAAGATTCCGGCGCTCATTTTCGTCGAAAATGCTGATGTGGAGCCCAGTTGGATTCATTTAGGCTTTTCTGGCATGATGTGGCATTAGACATGTCCAATATTTTGATACCTATATTAAAATATTAAAAAAATAAAAAATTAAAGAGGATCAAAATCATTCGAAAGCCAGACACCTTATTATTTAAAATAGTAAATAAATAAAAAATAAAATATAAAATATAAAGGTGATCAATATCATCTCCACAGCGGTTGCCCTCTCCAACCTCCAGCTCATCCGTCGCCCTTCAAGCCACCGGCCGCCCAAATTAGACACTCCATTCGACCCCAAGCAACCGGCGGCCAAAATCACAAAGTCTAACCTACATCAAGTCGTCGTTTCACCGTCGCTGCCTGCCTGCCGGAGGTGCCGTCGTGTTCCACTTATGCATATGCGTATGTGTTTCGAATACTTGTTAACTATGCGTCCGATTTGGATATGCAGTTAATAAATATGCGTATTTGTTTCGGATAATTGTTGACTATGCGTTTGATGTAGCTATGTGTTAGTATATATACTATAAAATCTCGCATAATTGTAAATTACACGGTTCATTTGGATACGCGATTTATAGATCGCATATAATTTCGTGAGTTGTGGAGTGAAAAAAAAGGTTTTATGATGAATCGCATTGTCCAAAAGAAAGAAAGTACATATGTATATATGGGGGTGTAAAAATATTGTGGCTTGCATTAGACGTAACTAGATACGAATTATTTGATCATTGCTTGGCGTCACTTTTAATTGTCCATTTACTGGGGTGCGACCTGTTTAGAGGTCAGTCCATAGTAGGAGTGAAGCTTGACGGGGGAGATGAGCTTCTCTATGTGATAAGGGACCTTATTCCAGTCAGCAAATAGGTCGTCAAAACGGGTAATATTTTTTGCCTTTAATTTTTGCCCTGAGATCTCCTCAAGCCACTCTGAGATGAAATTAAAAGTAACTAAGGGAGGTTTCACAAAGAAAAACTGGGATATTCAGTGTGTAACATAGGAAGGAAGGTTCTTGATATATTCAGCTCCGTTGCGACCACTAAGATAAATTGAGCCTTTTTGTCTTTTGAGGTCGTAGCTATAAAAGAAAAATTGAGTATCTATCTTTGGAGTTTATAGTGACTAAAAATGATAAAAGCTACTAGTGTGCAAATGGAATTAGGGCTGAGTTGGTTAATAGGCTTGTTATACAACTCACTAAAGGCAAGAAAGTCAAACTTGATTGGGAATTGAAGACCACTGATAATTAGATCGACAAAGATGGTATAAATCTAGTTGAAGGCTGATTGTGCGAGCTATCCAGGGAGGGAGCTTAGAAATCCCAGTTTGGAGGGAGCTCGCACATCCTCATGAATGTTTTTGTTTCAGGTTCTTGGGCAAACAAAAATGGATTAGCCTAGAAACATGTTCCATGTTAGGGTTATTAGGTCTCTATTACCGTTTCCATCTGTTATTGTTTGCGCTTGGTGGACGATGAGGCTACTTAATAGGAACTAGTACAGTACCCGTGCGATGCACGGGGTTTTATTATTTTCGTCCTTTTTAAAAGAAAATTTTGTATTTAAATTAAAATTATATAATAAAAGAACATTACATTACTAATTATAATGAAAATAATATATATATATATATAGAGAGAGAGAGAGAGAGAGAGAGAAGGGATCATATGAGAATGGTAGATAGTGAAAGAAATAAGAATGATTATAGACTATTGGATTGATACGATCAATTGACATAATTAAGTCAAAATTAAAGAACAATGGTCAATCCTTCAATGGCAAACTCGTAAATACATGAGTATACATGCCCAAATAAATAGATCAGCGGGGCATTTTCGAAATTCAACTTACACCCAAAATCAATGGGCCCCACACACTATATCTCTCCTCTTTATCTCTTTCTCCCTATTTCTCTCTCTCTTACAAACACACACATTTCCTTCCGGCGACACACACACACAGTCTCACACAACACACACAACCACCGTCCGCCGGCAGCTCACATCACTGCACTGACCTCCGTCCATCATGTCTCTGCTGTCAGGCCTATTGTTGCCTCCGTCCGGCGATTCTGTGAACGCGCCCAGAACTCACGGCGAGAGCTCCGTTGTCAACGGCCACAGCAACCGCCATCCTTCAAAAGACCACCACCTCGCATCCGCCTTCCACCTCCAGTCCACCGCTAAGCCCCAGCCGGCCGTCCACCACAGCTTCACCTCGCCACCGCCTAACATAGCTTTGGCTCTGCCGTCCGCCACCTACATCCAGTTGCAGCAACCAGCCTGCCGCCGCCACTAAAGTCGTCGCCGCCAGTAGCATCGACGTCGCCACAGGCCACCACTGCAAATGGAAGCGGACAACTCCATGGCAGTTCCCGATTTACAGATTCAAATTTTGATTGGGGGCCTTAGTTGGAGAATTTGATATGCTTGAGGGGTGAAATTGCAATTTTTTAAGTTTTAATGTATTTCAATTTAGTACTTGTGGCAAATTGATGATTTAATAAAAGTTCTTGGGGCTTAATGAAAATTGTATCATTTTTAATATATTATGATTTGGTTCACGGGTCACATTGGTAATTAATCGAAAATTGATTATTATTTTAATAATTTTATATTTTAATTGTTGAAACTAATTGATATATTTTATATAAAAAAGAAAAATAATAATAATAATATTTTTTTATATAATTTGTACATTTGGTTAGTTCGACTATTTAATTAAAAAAATCGACATGGAACCGAACTAAAGTATTTTTAAAGTAAA